GTGGAGTCGCTCAGCAATTCAACGTCATTAGCTTACTCGAGATTTGTTATGAGTACTGCTGGGAGCCTTCAGTTGAGTAGTCATCTGATAGCAAATCCCTCGCTGTTGTTGGGATGCTGCTGTTCCACATAACATAATCGACCACCATGTTGAATAATGGAGATGAAAGCACTTTTGAATGTTAAACCAGTCCGTCAGCGACTCTTCTGTCTTCATAGTTCCTTCTTTTAGTACCTTCGTAATGCCTTTTTAGAGACATACCTACGATCTTCTGCAGTACTCTGTAGTGTCGCAGTATGCGCAACAATGAATGACGGTGTGTCGAGTCGAAAGCTTCTCGGAAGTCGAGTAATGTTGCGTGCATAGTCACGTAATGCTGACGGACTGTCTCCAGGTCTCTGAGGATAGGTTTCTGAACCTAGTACAGTGAATCTTCTGAACAGCTTGGTCCGAAAGGATATGTTGAAGTAGGATGATCTGGTTGTCACACTTCATGACTGTCATCGTGCAAGACTGTTCTGCAGTGGATGCGATTGGTTATCCAGGTTCTTGGTGACTATTCGTACATTTTGCGCGATAAAATTTGGCTATGAACATTTCGACATCTCAATATGGCATTCGATTTAGTTTGGAAGCCAAATTTAGTTACCTGCTGAGATTAAATTCACGAACTTGTAACCTGACAGCAGCAGACTGTGGCGAGGAAAATGATATACGCAATGACGAAGTTTTAAATTGCCTCTCGCGGTCCTGAAATCATTTTCAGTATGTGTTTCAAACATGTGTTAAGAAGAAACCAATGTTGTTTTTTTCCTGGTATCATTATGCTGTGTTTTTGTTCAGTTCCATTTTGGCCAGGGTTCTGCTTATATGTTAAAATAAAAGTAATCTCATTGGTGATATCACTGAAACACTAAAATCATAGTGATGAAAATTCAGTGCAATATTTTGATACTTTATTACAAGTTTCAGAGCGGGTTAAAAGATTGATGTTGGTTTACGTCTACGATTGAGTGTAACAGTATGATTTGTGGAAGGAAATTTGTTGATGTATTGCCGAGAAGCTGAGT